ATTGAAGCTTTTTCTCTGAGCAACTGTTTTGTTTTCTGGTCACAGTTGGGTTCATCAAACATTTCACGCAAAAACCCACTATTTAACAAATTACAAACAAACATAAAGCAAAATCATTGATGCAAATACGTGTATATCTTTGGAAAGACATATGTAACCTCGTGGTTAGCTGCTATTGAAGGGATTGTGAGTGATTAATGAGGAGGCATCACAGGCAGATATAGCCCAAAGTCTGTACCTGCCATTTAAGGTTACTTTAAAATTTAACAGGTATCTCAAATCATCAATGTATTTTTATCAAAGATAAATCAGATTCAAAGCAAATAATAATATAATATCAAATATCTTTGAATTTTATTTGTGTTTTAATTGCTGATTTGGCAAGTCATTGAAAGTGAAATTATGGGCCAGGCACGGTGGCTCACACCTGTAATCCTAGCACTTTGGGAGGCCGAGGTGGGTGGATCACCTAAGGTCAGGAGTTCAAGACCAGCTTGGCCATTGGGGTGAAACCCCATCTTTAAAAAAAAATAATAAATTTTAAAAAAAAGAAAGTGAAATTATGTAGGCTCTGTACCAATGCAGTTATAACTGAGACAAGCAAGAAGTAAGGCTGTAGTTTTATACAGGTATTTTTTTTTTTTCTTTTGTAGCATTGGTATCATCTTTAGTTCCTCCTGGAGAGCCCTTGGATAAGTGACATTTTGAGAAGTCACCAGAAGACAGAAGACAGCATCTGATTACTTTAGGGTTAATCGTTAACAACATGGTTGTACTAGTGACATTGTTTACAGTGTTCAATTAAATGCCAATTTAATGACACTCCACATTTAAACAGCAGTGCCAAGCCTTCATGTAGTTCCAGCCCAGAGGATTGACCAGCTGTCCACTCTTGCTGACCCTCCACATGCCGTTCCTTCTATTTTTCAAGGATACAGGTAATTGCTAGTCCTGACGGAGACTTAAACAAGCCATTGTGTAGCTGTATCCATGATGTTTTTCTTAATAGGAAATGAATTGACACTCTTCATAGCACCAAGTTCCCAACAGAAAACTGGGTTTGGATATTAATGTAGTAGGAATTGTGCTTCATGAAGCCTTGGCTGAATATTACACTCTACATTTGCAGCCCTTTATTATACCTTGCATTTTGAGAGGAATGATGACTGCATTACCAGCGACTAAGCAGCTGCAGGGTTATCTCTTCCACACAACCAATCCACTTGGGCTTTTGGAAATAGGGTTTTCATACCTGAAACGTATTCCCTTTCCAAGAGTGAGAGCATACAAGCTCACCAAGCAGTAATACTCAGCTATGATGAGACTGCTGGCCCCTGATAATTTGCATCTAAAGAAATCAATTTGAACCAAAATGCTGCTACTGAAATGTGTTTTTCTAATAGACTTCTATAAATGTATGATGTTTTGTGCATTCACATATCCTCAGGTGAATGAAAATAAAGTTAAGATCTATTTCACCCAGGTGATGCACTAGCTGCTTGTTCAGATGCATTCTGGAGATTATCTTTGATGGGAATGTATCTTGAAGATATCAATTGTATCCCCCTTCCTACTTCTTTTAACAAATACAGTAGACAAGAGCTTACTACATTATTTCTCTTCATGATGCAGATATTCAAGAGATAGTTTCCATATCAGAGAGCCTGACATTCTAATGGTTAAGATAGGCACAAACAGAAAATACAATGCAGTGTGGAGGTGAATATGATATTGCACTAGGCAATACAGGGATGTAAAGGAGAGAGACCTGGTCAATACAACAGAAGAAAATTTAACAAAGAAGTCATATACAGAAAAAAAAGGGTTAAATCATCAATATGAGATGATTTAACCACTTGGTCCACATAACTATATTATTAGCTTCTAGAATATAAGTTTTTAAATATGCCATGTATCACCTACCAGGGAAGTATATGCTGGTATGTGACATCTGGTGATGATAATAGCATCAACCTGAGTAAATTGAGAATCAAATATCTCATGTAAACTCCTTAATAAAGCACACAGCAACATCTAGCATGTGGTAATTGTAAACATTCTTTATTATTATTAATGGAAGAGAATCAAATAGTTTGTTGTTAAGAATATTTATACTTTCATAAAAATAGGTATAGAGGGAGACAGCAACAAAGAGACAGAGAGAGAGAAACATTGAGGAGAGAATAACACATTGTTTATTAGATGTTAATACTACAGAAGACCTCTTGAGAAATTCTGCTTTATAGCAAGCCACATTGAAACATTCTATTTTAACAAAATTATAAGGATAGGCAAGCTGTACTTGAGTATACTGGTTTGTTATGAGTACACCTTTTTCTTTCTTTTTTTTTTTTTAATCGCTTCTAGCTATTCTAGTGAGAATTTAATTAAATGTTCTTACTTGAATAAATAACCTGATAAAATGAGCTCAGTGATGAGCTACTGAATGGAGGGGATTGTCTTTGGCGATTGATGGCTTTGAGGATGCAATGCTGAATTTATTTTGCTTCGTATTCCAACTCTCAAGTGGTGTTTGATTTTAGGTATGAACTTTCTGGATCATAACATTGAATCAAAATTCCCAGGAACTCAGGTCAATTATTTGAATTATTAATATTTCTTAATTTGTGGAACAATGTCATTACCACATCATGTAAAATTTCTTCCTTATTTTATTCCAGTACCTGTTTCCCTGCCCTTCTTTTGTAACCATATAATGAGGTCAGTTTAAGATTTTTTGAATGTGTGCGTACTCTTGGAAATGTCCGGTGTTTCTGAAGTTACTATTCTTTTCCAATTTTGGTTAAACATGTGTAGTTATATATGTGATGCAGTGCTGTAATCTTTTCTTTCTTCATTGCTTTACTCAACACTAAGTTTTGATGCATTCATATCATTGTGCATGTTACTAGTTTATTTATTCTAAGTGACACACATAGTTCTCATTATCTATAGCCAAGAGCACAATTTTTGTATCATGTGGTATTCACATACTTAATTTCACCAAATATTCTCATACTGTTCACCAGAAGGTTTGTGATGGTTTTTGCTACCATCGGAAATGCAGGGCTGGGCGCAGTGACTCATGCCTGTAATCCCAGCACTTTGGGAGGCTGAGGTGGTTGGATCGTGAGATCAGGAAATCAAGACCATCCTAGGAACATGGTGAAACCTGTCTATACTAAAAATACAGAAAATTAGCCAGGCGTGGTGGCATGCACCTGTATTCCCAGCTACTAGGGAGGCTGAGGCAGGAGAATCACTTGAACCCGGGAGGTGGAGGTTGCAGTAAGCGGAGATTCCGCCCCTGCACTCCAGCCTGGGTGACAGAGGGATACTCAGTCTCAAAAAAAAAAAGTAGGGTGGATGCCATCAATCTATTATTTATTTACAGAGAAAAAATTTTTGACACAAAACTTATGTGCATATTTTGTAATACAGAGAAGTAAATCTCTGTAGTGAATGTTGCATGATATACCATTTAAGCAAAACAGCCTGGCATGTCTTGTGTCAAGGAGATGCTAAGTATTTGTTGGGAAATTGAACTGAATGAAGTGGACTTCTGGCTCTGTCGCTTATGAGGTGTGTCACCTTGAATAAATTACTGAACCTCTTAGTTCTTTCATCTCTAAGATGGATAAATTATACTTATTTTATTGGATTGTTTAAAAGATTTAGTTAAGCCTTAAGAAACAGCAAACATTAGCTATTACTGTTATTATTTTATTCTTGTCATTGTTGTTATTCAGTGATGCTACAGAGCTTCAACTGCAAGACAATTTTGTAAAGTAAGTTAAAGCCTCCCAACATCTATCCCTCTATTACACTGTTCCCAGTAGACTGCTTTTTGGTTCTCAAATACTTAAACTTTATATAATGCATTAACTGTCAATACATTTATAGTTGATGTTTACATAGGAAATTTTATTTGCATTTGGAAAACAAAATACAATTTTTTTTTTTTTAAAAGACAGGGTCACCTAGCCTGGAGTGTAGAAATGCAATCATAGCTCACTGCAGCCTTGAAATCTTATGCTCAAGTGATCCTCTTGCCTCACCCTCCTGAGTAGTTGGGACTATAGGCCTGCACCACCATACCCAGCTAATTTTAAATATTAGTAGTGATGGGGTTCTCACATTGCTGCCTGTGCTGGTCTTGAACTCCTAGCCTCAGCTAATCCTCCTACCTGGGCCTCCCAAAGTACAGAGATCACAGGCGTGAGCCACTGTGCAAGGCCGAAATACAATAGTTTTTGAGAAAACAGTGTATAGTAAGTACTCAAGTTTCATTTTAACTATATTTAGTAACACATGACAATCACATGTAGATGTTTTGAAAAAAGCAGTATGCATAAACAAAGGAGACAAGTACTGGGATATTTCTGGCTGTTAGAGTCATCACAGCATCATTCTCAATGTGAGCCATTCCCTGCCTGGCGCATTTGTCCTGACATGTTTCCAGAATGCCTTTCAAAGTTTTACCAAGTATTATATAATAAACACCCCCTTCAAATCAAGAAATTATTATTTTGACTTTTTAATAATAGCTGACCAGTTGCAGTGGCTCACACCTGTAATTTCAGCACTTTGGGAGGCTGAGGCAGGCAGATTACTTGAGGTCAGGGGTTTGAGACCAGCCTGGGTAACTTAGCAAACCCTTTCTTTACTAAAAATACAAAATGAGCTGGGCATGGTGGCATGCGCTTGTAATCCCACCTGCTTGGGAAGGTGGGGCAGGAGAATTGCCTGAGCCTGGGAGGCAGGGGTTGCAGTGAGCTGAGATTGAGCCACTCCACTCCCGCCTGGATGATACGAGACTCTGTCTCAAATAATAATAACAATAATAATAGCCATTCTGACTGGTATGAAATGGTATCTCATTGTGGTTTTGATTTGCATTTCTTTAATGGTTAATGACGTGAGACTTTTTTCATGCTTGCTGGCTACATGCGTGTCTTCTTTTGAAAAGTGTCTATTCATGTCCTTTTCCCACTTTTTAATGGGGTTGTTCATTTTGTGATTGTAAATTTGTTTAAGTTCCTTATGATTCTGGATAGTAGACCTTCGTTGAATGCGTAGTTTGCAAATATTTTCTCCCATTCTGCAGGCTGTTTATTCTGCTCTTTTACTTTTCTCCCATTCTGCAGGCTGTTTACTAAAGAAGTTCTTTAGTTTAATTAGGTATCAATTGTCCATTTTCTTTTTTGTTGCAATTGCTTTTGACATCACTGTCATGAAATCTTAGCCAGGTCCTATGTGTAAAGTGGTATTTCCTGGGTTATCTTCTTGAGTTTTTATAGTTTTAGGTTTTACATTCAGGTAATTAATCCATCTTGAGTTGATTTGTGTATAGTGAGAGGTAGGGGTCCAATTTCAGTCTTCTGCCTATGGCTTGCCAGTTATCCCAGCACCATTTGTTGAATAAGGAGTCCTTTTATATTGCTTGTGTTTGTTGACTTCATCAAAGAGCAGATGCTGGCAAGGTTGCAGAGAAAAGGGACTGCTTATACACTGCTGGTGGGAATGTAATTAGTTTAGCCATTAAAGAAAGTAGTGTGAAGATTCCTCAAAGCACTTAAAACAGAATTATCATTTGACCCAGCAATTTCATTATTGGGTATATACACAAAAAATATAAATCACTCTGTCATAAAGACACATGCACACATATGTTCATCACAGCACTCAACCCAAATGTCCGTCAGCAATAGACTGGATAAAGAAAATGGGGAAGCTATACACCATGGAATATTATGTAGCCATAAAAAGAACACGATTATGTGTTTTACAGGAACATGGATGGAGCTGGAGGCCACTATCCTAAGCAAACTAATTCAGAAGCAGAAAAACAAATGCCACTTATAAGTGGGGTCTAAACAAGAACACATGGACACAAAGAAGGGAACGATAGACACCAGGACCTACTTGAGGGCGGAGGGTGGGAGGAGGGAGAAGATCAGAGAACTACCTATTGGGTATTATGCTTATTACCTCGGTGATGAAATAATCTGTACACCAACCGCCTGAGACATGCGCTTTATCTATAAGGCAAACCTGCGTATGTACCACTGAATATAAAGTAAAAGTTTAAAAAAGAGAAAGTATTAAGGAAACTACAAATAAGAAAACAAGTAAATGAAAAAACATAGAATAGATATTTTTATACACAAAAACAACTGTTGCACTAATTATATCAATTATTTGACATTTACGAAACAATGTTGAATAATTTCACATCAAACCATACTTCTATATAGGGGTTTTTCCTATTTTATTTACATTTAGGAAATAAGTTGATCGGTTAGAATGGATCCATGTTTTGTAGGAGCTGCATCTTGTAATATTTGGTGGGCCTCCTTTAACTAAAATAATATAAAATTATCTTACCTTAATGAACATTACAAATATTCATTGGTAGTTTCTTCCCAGGATCTTGGAAGGGGCTCATGCAAATGAAGGACTTTGATGGTTAAGTTTCATCGATTTTATAATAAATCAACTTTTGGAATTTGGGATTGACATATAATGTATCATAATCTTTTTTTTTTACACATTAGGAAATAGATACCCAGTTAACATTTTGGCACAGAACATCTGATTGTCTGAAATGTATTGCTGACTGATATAAAGTAGAATATTCCTCTCCTAAGATGGAAATAAACTATGAAGAAAAAGAAAAATGAATGGGAGAAAGGGGGAAAAAAAACCCTTCAAGTAATTGTAGCTAAAACTTCCTCTTTAGTTCTTTGTTACCTGATAAGTCACTACCAATTCTGTTTTTAATTTTGACTTATTTGTTACTAATAAGTGCATCAGCCCTTGAATTCTCAATGTAATTGAACTGGTTTTACTTGTAGGGGCAATCACAAGCAATTTTATTTCTATTTCCTTTTGTACTTAACGCTACATGGAGCTATTTTAGTCCCTTGCTTTTGGATGAAAACTCATGCAGATTCCATGACTTTTATCATCATTCTTAAGATGGTAAAAGTCTCCTAGTATTTTGAATTTGAGTCACAATTCAAAATGTAAAATGTCCAGTCCTATGTAGAATAAAAATTTCAAACATGAGTTCCAGTTTATATTTTCCTCCTTCATTTATCCCCTCTACTTTTTTTGACATCCCCCTTGGGTATTTTCTGACCTCTTCTAAATGTGAAGTATGGGGCAAAAGAATGAATAAGGGGAGGGTGCAGAGAGTCTGAATTCATCGATGCTAGCATGCTGACCCAGGACGTATGGCTCTTTCTCACCCTATCCCCGAGGTTTTCTCAGCTGCAGTTCCCCGGACAGAGCAAATGAGTATCTCTTCAGGTCAGTCACTTTTTTCTCATCCTTGTACATCCCTCAACTTCTTTATTATTTTCTCCAGGTTCTTGTTTTTGTTTCCCTTTCAAGGAAGCCATCTCAAACAGGAGGTAAGATGGCCCCATCCTGACTCTACAATCTGGTGCATGGAAGACATTTATATACTCTTTGCCCTGGTAGACTCTGCTGCCCCACAATTGCGCCTCTGTCTGTGTAGCTTCAAAGCAAGAAACCAGCCCACCTTTGCCCTCTCAGCTTTTCAGGCAAAAGTGAGAAAAAATCAGGCTACTGAATCTCCAAACTGCAAGGCGCATATTTTAACTTCTCCAAATGGCAAATAATGAAGCACTCCCAACCCTTGTTCTTATGGGCAGTAGGGGTAGGACTCATGGGTGTACCAACCACCAACTATAAAATTCCCCTTCTCTGTATTTTATAGCTTCAATGTTGATAAACGCATTTAGAAATTCTATGCCTTGTTTCCTACCATCTTTTTTGAAATTGTTTTATCCTTAAATGGAGACTGACTTAAAATGTGTTTTGATTCTCTTAGTACTTTATCCAAAAACATCCTTAAGAAATGATGAAGTGAAATACTTGTGGAAAACCTATATATTTTTGGTATGAGTTTTTCTAGTCTGTGTATGGCAAGTAAATAAAATGTAATGTTTAGTGGCTCTTTTTGTATTTATAGCATGGTATCTTTAGTAATCTGTTTAAAAGGGTATTAAATATTTACTCTGTAAAAGTCCTTAGTCATTTTTTCTTAACAATGTTAATCGAAGTTATATAAATGTTATGAGACTAGTATCTTTCATATAGTATGAAATATGCCATTAGAATTTAGCCCTGACCTGAAAAAACAGAGTGAAAAATGCCTCAGGGAAACATATTGGTCCTTCAACTTCAACTTACAAGGAGCATGTAAGATTGAGATTTTTTGTCCAGTTTTTTTTTTTAATGTTTTCTGTTAAAATAAAAACTACTTTCACTTGCTATAAAATGTCTGTCCTTTAAGGACAGTTATGCCAAATATTATGAATGATATGATTACTGGGAGACAGACAGACAGACAGACACACACACACACGCACACACACACACACGACCTTTTTCCTACAATGCCACAGAAGTGTCAGAATTTATAAGGAAATAAATTGGCAATCAACAGGCTAAAAAAAAAAAAAATCCAGAAAACCAACAAATACTGAGAAAGAAAAATAAGACTGAATTACAAGGAACATGAGAACATATTTTTTGCCCTTCCAAACTTATTGGGATCCTCCACTTATATGATAGAAACTACAGAAATAAAAATGTTTCAAAAATTATTTATTTATTATCTTCACAGAGAATGCATGTTTAAGTGACTACCAATATAATTAAAATCAGATATGATCAACATCTTCTTTTAGGTAAAATTTAAAATTTTAAATCCTTGCCTATACGTAAATTAGAAATGGCTTATTTTAAAAAGACCATATTCTTTCCAGAAAGAAAAAAACTCTTTATATAACAGTGATTGTTTTATTCTGTTCAATATATTAAGCTTAGAATAGATGAAAAATATTACTTTTAATATTAATTATTTATTTTCATTATATTTACAACAGCTGACAGTTTTAGTAATAAGATGGTGGGGGCAATTTCTATTTTCAATCATGTCTCTTAGTAGTAATACAAAAATAATAATTCCAATTCAGGACCTGGGTAGATCGAATAAAAATATCACAGGTTTAGTTCATGTAAGTTCAGATACTTTTATTCTGACCCTAAAATAGAGCTTTATTTTTCTTTTTTAAAAAAAGCTAGTCAAGTGTGGTTGTTGGGGAAGACAATGTTAAATCAGGTTAACAATAACTGAAGGTGCTCTGACCAACTGGAGCTTTCATATAGTTAAAAAAAGCCTTTTGGTAGCATTAGATTCAGGCTAACTATACACTGCTAATAAGTCTTTCTTTGCCAAAGTCACATTCAAAGTAAGGTATGCTAAAGGAGTGTTTTTAAGTTTTAATTTAGTTTTTTTTTTTTTTTTCAATTCCAGTGTCTGCTATGCTGTTTGGAAAACAAAAATCTTTAACAAAATCAAGAAAATCAAATTTGAGAACTGCTTGAACAGCTGTTTCACTTTATAATGAAAACTCAAGCTTAACTCTTCACTGAGCACACTTTTTTGCTATCACTTTGATCCCTGGGTACATGTAACACAATGCAAAGTGCAAATATATACTTGCTAACTTATTTGAGACCCTTCTCTCCATTAATCCTATGTAGAATTATGATAGCCCAACATGATAATTTGTATAAATGCATTAACATTTGGATTAATATAACTGATAAATCTCAGTCTATCTACTTTTTAAGACTACCATTTTGCATTCTTTATACTGGCCTTATGGCATTTAAAAATTTCAATGGTATTTGAAATACAAGCATAAAGCTAAGGGATTGAGATCCTAGATTTCAACTATGAAATTTTAAGTCAAGGGAAAATAATAATTCAAGGGTAGTTTAAGATAATTGTTTAATTTTACAGTCATGAAAATTGAGGTTGTGCAGGTGAAACCAATAGGTGACGTGTTGTGATCACCAATTAAAATTGGAACATCACCAGAGCACGAGCTTCTCATGTGCCACTAATCCAGGGCTCTGTCAATCAAGACTGAACCCAAGAATGAAGAAATAGGAAATAAATATGCTTTCCAATCTCAAGTCATCCGAAATTTATTTTAAAAAGCTTAAACTAATAATTTATACTGCTTTAGCCCTGCTACTTTCATTCTTATTCATAAATAACAGTTCACACATAGTAAATACTTGATAAATATTTGTTGAAATGAATTAAATTTATTCAAGGATAAATATAGTGTACCACATCTTTTCAAGGCTTCACCACATTAATATCAATTCATGAGTTTCACAAGCTCTGAGGTTCTACTTACTCAATAGCAGCATCTGTCCGTTACCTAAAAGCTCTGTTAATTCTGAGACTATAAAGCAGGTGGTCTCCCATGTGCTCAAGGATATATCACCTTGTGTTGTTTTGCTCTGAGTTAAGGAGATATCTTTGTCTCTCTGCCTTCTGTACCCTTCATTTGACTATGTGCCCCCACAGGGCAGTGACATCCTCCAGTGGTGGCCACCTAATCCTTTCACCATGCCAAAGTATTCTATGATCAGGGATAGAGATGAGGAGAATGGTTCTTTCCCTACATTTCTGCAATTCTCTCTTGCTGAGGCCTAAAACCCCATGGCTAGATCACACATGCAAAAGGGTAGAAGAGCTAATACATAAACCCAGTTAGCCTGGCTCTAGACTCCCCATAGACTGTGTGGGGTGTGGCCGATCTATTTCATACTTTAAATCCTCCTGTGCTGTCTGAGGATCATGCATGTTATGTCTATCTTCAGCCTTCAGGCAAACCAACACCAGGTACACACAAATTATTATTATTATTATTATTTTGGTGGGGAGAATGGAAAGGGAAAGGACTTTCTCCATCTTCACTTTCTAGAAGTGTCCTAGTCACAGCTCCAGGCTTTCAACTCAATTCATTGCAATGAAACAGAAGGTTTTTCATTCTGTGATATGTTTTCATAATTTTTCTTTGTATTTTAACTTACTTATGGATCTAAGGCCTATGATCTGGTTTTGAAAAGCTAGACAGCAGTATTCAATTGTTTGTTGTTTTAGAAAGTATACTTTTCTCTATAGTGTTGATACATTATAAACAATTCTAAAATCGCACTGTCTTACCACATGATTTCTTGCTCATGCATTTTTACAGGCCAGCTCTGGCAATGCTGAGCTCAGATGGGATCAGCTGGGCTGGGATCCAGGCTGCAAGTGAAAGCTCAGTGTTTGTTCTTATTCCAGAACTAATGGCTCTACTCAACATATTCTCATCACAGATGACAAAAACACAAGCAGCCAAGACAGGTTATTCAAGTATATTCATTACCTCTATCTTCATTGCATTAAATAACATTCCAACAACCAAAGCAAGTTACATGGTTCTACCCAAAGTTAGCTGCATAAGAATGAACACTCCACCCACTCCACTGGAAAGCCCTGTTAAGAGTCATGAGACAAAAGATTTGGATGTAATTCTATTACAGTGAGTGGGTGTGGGTAGTGAAGAGTTGAGAACCTTAATCCACTTACCACAGTTATCAATAATGACAGTAACAATGGTGATAGTGATGATGATGATGTAAACAAGCTTTCTGTTCCCCAGCTTTTAACATTAAGCTTCATTCACCCTGATATTTTTATCCTTGATATTAAGCCTAATAAGTTGGCCTTATAGGAATATTTTTTTTTCTCTGTGAGCCACTAAACAGCACTTTAATAAGGAGAAAAAGAAATTCCTTATCAGTGAAGAGAGGCATGCATTGGACATGATATGTTACTGCTAGACAGAGTACAGGATGTGGAAATTTGCTTTGAAAATGTGACACCCAAATTAACATCCTAACTCCCATGAGCTTGAGTATTAGGGAGAGAGGACTGTAGTCTCAACTGCATAAATTTAAAAGAGGCTTTTAAAAATAAAAATACAGGGCCGGGCGCGGTGGCTCAAGCCTGTAATCCCAGCACTTTGGGAGGCCGAGGCGGGTGGATCACGAGGTCAAGAGATCGAGACCATCCTGGTCAACATGGTGAAACCCCATCTCTACTAAAAATACAAAAAATTAGCTGGGCATGGTGGTGCGTGCCTGTAATCCCAGCTACTCAGGAAGCTGAGGCAGGAGAATTGCCTGAACCCAGGAGGCGGAGGTTGCGGTGAGCTGAGATCGCGCCATTGCACTCCAGCCTGGGTAACAAGAGCGAGACTCC